CCTAGGCTCCTGCCCCCATCAGGTCCTGTCACCGCCCTGCACGCAGGTGGGAGGGACGGCCAGACAGGCACGGGAGGCCTGGGCCCTGCTTTCCTGGCGGGGCTGTGACGGAGCTGGGGCGCGTGGGGGAAGTAGTGAGAACGCTGGCCAGGATGCCCGAATGACGACGCCTGTGGCTCTGCCAGCTGCGGGCCACCCCCCGCTGCGGTCGGGTGGTCGAGCCGGTGCCGGGTGCCTGGTGGGGAGGGGCCCCGAGCGTCCCGCAGGGCCCCATGTGGCGTCATCCCGCTCTTGCTGCGGGTGGTCTCCCAGCCCACGCGCCCCGCCCCTCGGAGGCCCCTGGCCCATGGCGGCATTCCAGGCGCTTCGTCCCGGATTCCCCAGAGGGAGGCCTCCGCTGCAGGTCGGGCCTTCACCTGTTGCTTCATCCCTTCTCTCTCCCCAGTACGCCTGTGGTATCGAAGCCGAGGTGGTGGGGAAACCTTCTCCTGAGTTTTTCAAGTCTGCCCTGCAGCAGATGGGGGTGGAGGCCCACCAGGTAGGATGCTCTGACGAAGTACGCGTGGTGGAGGCGGCTCTCTGGGGAGGCCCGGGGGGCACTACGCAGGGGCAGCCGTGGGGCACGAGGGGTTCCAGGGCTCAGGCAGGCTGCGGAGGTCGGCTGGCAGCCGTGGGTGGACCCCGCCGTCAGAGCTGATTTGGCTGGAAGCGGGGGAAAGACAGCAAAGGGGGCCCGCTGCATGTTGTAACCTGTTACATTCGTTTCGGTATAAGAGTGAGGAGCAGAAATGCCTTTGGCTTTTTACAAGTGACATTTGCTTTTTTTCCGGAAGGATAAGAATTGACAAAGCCTATTAGTATATTAATATTTCCCCAGAAAGACAATGGATAACAAGATTAAAACACTATGTAAAATAAAATCCCACATCTTACCACCTTTACATTAATGACAGTTTTGAGATAGATTGCCTTCCAAACATACATCTTTAAAAGAAAAAAAAGCAGTTATGATTTCAGTGTCCACAGTGCACGTCCCCTTCCCAGGGCGCGTGGAGCCGGTCTTCTCCAGTTGGCCGTGTCCTGAGAGCATCCTTAAAGAAACTGGACACGTGTCTGTAGTTGACCCCAGGCTGCCCTGCTGTCCGTCTTAGACATGGAACCAGGGGTCAATGTCAGTGCCCTGTGATGAGGCTGGTGCCCCAGGATCCCCGGGGCCTCCATTACTGTTGGACCTGAATTTCCCACATGAGCTCCAGTCTAGAGCACTGGTCTCTCACGATGCTGGAGGAAGATGGCCCTCTGCCACGCAAATCTGGAACCCACCCCCCTGCCCCTGTCCCAGTATTCACAGATGTCAGAAGGCACAGGGTCTTGGGGTTCCAGGAAACACCCAGGAAGTACCCTGTGAAGCTGGTGGAGAAAAAGAGGCTTGTGTTTCAATGAATGAAGACTGTAGAAATAAATACCTGTTTTTTTCATGATTCTGTTTCATAGGGCAGAATTTCTTTTTTATTTTGATAAATTACAAATATACATAGAAACAGAAAAAATGGTCCAGTGATTTCCCCCATACATCCATCACCCAGATACAACAGTTAAAAGATTTTGCCAAATTCCCTTTTTTTATCCCTTTTCTTTCTTTCTTTTTAAAAATTTACTTGTTTTTCTTTTCTTCTTGTGTTTTAAAGCAAATCCCAGACTTATTGTTACTATATCCTTTCATATTATAGTATGCCTTTCAAAAAAAGATGGTTATTTTTGACTGTGCAATGCTTTAAAACACCTAACAATGGCTAAGAACACAAAAAGATGCTCAGTGTCACTTGAGAAGTGCAAATCAAAGTTACATTGAAGTCCCACTCATACCCACTTGGATGGCCATAATAACTCAAACAAAAACAAAAACACACTGGAAAATAAGTATTGGCAAGAATGTAGAGGAATTGGAACCCCCACACTGGTAGGAATGTGAAATGGAGCAGCCACTATGACAAATAGCCACTACGGAAGATAGTTCTTCAGTAAGTTAAACGTAGACTTTCCACGCGACCCAGCAATCCACTCCTAGGAGTATAACCAAAAGGATCGAAAACAGGCGTTCAAATAAAAACTTATCCGTCATTATTCATAGGAGCATTATTCACAATAGCCAAAAGTTAGAAACAGTGCAGATGGTCCTCAAATGAGTGACAAACTAAATGTGCTATATTCACACAATGGGATATTTCAGCTATAAAAAGAATGAAATACTGATAAATGATATAATGCGAGTGAACTTTGAAAACATGGTAAGTGAAAGAAGCCAGTCACAAAGGCCACAGTTTATATATCATATATTTATATGAAATGTCCAGAAGAGGCAAATCCATAGAGACGTAAAATAGAGGAGTGGTTGCCAGGGGCTGGGAGTGTGGGGGAACAGGGGTGACTGCTTAGTGGGTGTGAGGTCTCCTTTTGGAGTGACAAAAATGTCTGGAACTAGATAGCAGTGATGGTCACACGATATTGTAAATGTGTTTAATGCCGCGGATTTGAGCACTTTAAAATGATTACATTGGTAAATCCGATGTGTATTTTATCACAATGAAAGAAAACCTACTCCCCAAAATCATTAGTAATTCCTTAGTATTATGTAATACCGATCCGAATTCAAATGCCCCTGGCTATCTCAGAAATGTTCTTTTACATTGATTTGGTTAAATCAAATCTCGCAATGTCTATACTTTGCATGTGGCTGTTTTATATCTTAAACCTCTTTTTAACTTTTTATCATGGAACATTTTATATATCTCTGCAACTAGAGAATGTAGCATAATGAACCTCCAGGGACCCATCTCTGAGCTTCAATAATTATCAACTAATAACCACTTTTAAAAAGTTGTTTTTAACTGTTCATTTTGAAGTAATTTCACATTTACAAAAAAGTTGCAAAAATAATACAAAGAATTCCCACGTGTCCTTAAACTGACTTCTCAAATGCTAACATCTTACATAAGGATGATAGAACAATTATGAAATCAGGAAATTAGCTCTGATACAAGACTATTTTTTTTAATCGCCTTAGAATTCTTTTATTTATTTTTAATTTTTCAGCTGGAGTTGACATTCAGTATTAGTTTACATTAGTTTCTGGTGTAAGCATCGATTGCAAGACTCTTAACCTAAAGACCCTTCTGCAGACGTCAACAGCCATCCCTCCAATACCTTTTATTGGGCCACTTACATTTAGCAGTCATGTCCCTGGTGTCCGTGACTCTGGGGCAGCCCCTCGGTCTTTCTGTGTGGTTCAGGACCATGGCATTTTTGAAGAGTACTGGCCAGTTATTTCGTAGAATGTTTTTCAGTTTGGTTATTTCCTTCTGTTTCCCCATGATTCGATTTTGGGTTATGCATTTTTGGCAGGAATCTCCCAGAAACAGTGCTGTGCCCCTGGGTACATTGCATCCGCAGGCATGTAGTGGCCCCCTGCTCGTCATTGATGATGTTCTCTCTATCCCAGGGGAGGTGGAGCCTGCCAGGGTTCTTCACTACAAAGTTACTGTTTGTCCTTTTGTGACTAATATGTGTCTTGTGGGAGAGCACTTGAAACTGTGTAAATATCCTCTTCTTATTCTTTTCTCCTCTTTACTTTAGCAGCCACTGATAATTCTTTCCTGAAACAGCTAGTACCGTTTGCCAAGTGGCCATTTTCTGTTTCATCGTTCCGTCTATATTTATTGGAATTTACTGTGAGGAAGGGCTTTGCTTTTTTTCTCCTATTGTTTATTTATTCCAACGTGGACTCAGGATTTTGTTTTATTTCATGAGTTACAGTCCATTTTTATGACCGTTTACACATTATTCAAATTGTCCTGTATTTGGCCATTGGAGCCCATCTCCAGATTAATAGCCACGTGTTTGATCTGTCTTTCTACCCACACTTCTCCCCTAGATTGTTTGGAATCAAATCCCGGAAACCGTATCACTTCTGCAAATATGGCTCTAAGAGATGGGAATTCTTTTTAAAAACCAATAATGCCATTATCACATCTAAGTAATCCTAACAATAATTCCTTCATACCAAAGGATATCCAGCCCCTGTCCGCATCTCCCTGACTTTTACGGTGATGTTGCTTACAGTTGGAATCTAGAGCCAAAGGAGGCCCTTGCACTGTGATTGGTCACTGTGATTCCTAAGTGGTTTTGAGTCTTATCAGTTCCCAGCTCCCTTTTGTTTTTCCTTGCAACGTCCTGAGGAACAAGCTGGGTTGTTCGTCCTGTGTGGTGTCCCACTGGAGTTTGCCACTTGCACCTCCGTGGTGTCCTCTCTGCCTCCCGTGTATGGGTAGTTGGATCGCGAAGCTTGGTCAGAGTCTGGTTCAGGTTTTTGACGACTGCTCTCTAGGCGGTGGTGTGCCCTCCATCAGGTGGCACAGGATGTCGGTGGTCTTTTGTGATATTAGCAGTGACTGATGATCGGTGCCTAAGTTCATTAACTCATTAAGGGCTTCAAAACGGTGATATTCGAATTCTGTCTTTCCTCCTTCATTGTTTTGCTCTGGATTACTTCTGTATAGGAAAACTCACCAACTGTTTGTTACCCCGAGGTGCAGTCCATATACCTCATGCCTGTTTCTCTCCCATACTTATTAGTTTTCAAAATGATAATTTGGTTCTCTAATGTCCTCTCAGGGTGACAAAGATTTAAAAATACATATACCATAAATAAATACACATAAACATACTTTATGTGTTTCAGTCCATTGCAGTTATTATCTTATTGATGTTCAAAGTATTTCATCTGTGACCAGTGGGAGCCTTCAGATTGGTGTCTGAGTGGTCTGAAGTGATCCCCGTGTCTCGGGGGTGGCAGGTTGTTTCATGGCTGCCTTGCACACTTCCTGCTCTCGGCCTGGACTCCACCACCCTCCCAAGGAGCCATGCTGACTTCTGTGGGAAATAGTATTTAGAAACCATAATCAGGACATTAGCAGTTCTCGTTTCTAGGTTGGTCATCATTGCTAAGCTTTTTTAGTCGACAAGGTTCATAAAAAATATATATCTTTAAACATGAAATGCATCGTGAGTTCATTCCAAAACTTCTGATTCAGATTCACACCTATGGGTTTGTACTTGGTCTCATCAATCTTATATCTGTATTTCCTTTTTCCATGTCAAAAATTCTGGCTCTTAAGAATACCAGTATCATCAGTCATTTGCTTTGGTCCAGAATACACACCAGAGTCTCGAATCTCCAAAGTGTGCCGTGTGAAAGAAGCCAGGCACAAAAGAGAGAGTGCCACCACCAGCGCTACCAATGTCACCAAGGCTGGGACAGTACTGTGTTGCTGGGCCAGGGGACCGGCCTGTGACGCACAGTATCTATCACTGTGATCGCTGATGACTGAATATAGAAGACTGGTGACTGGTACTGTCGACGATTTCCTTTTTTGACAGTCCTTTCTTTTTGCTTTGAGCAGATCCCTCTAGAGATTTACGGTATTTTAAAGCCCTTGGAATAGTTCTCCCTGGGTGTTTGCCACCAACAGGCTCCTCTCT